GAGGTTTTCCCTTCTCTGACGAGAGCCCACATTAATTCAACATTTTTTTCTATAATTTTTCAAACTGATCATATTACGAAGTCACTGCTAACCAGCTCTGTCACAGTCTCTGCGTTATGGCGATATAGAAATCTGACGATTTTTCCTTTATTTTATCGATTAACAAGTACTAAAAAATGAAAACAGCTGGCAACTCAACACAAAACTTTTCAAATATCATGTTCATGTAGTACCAAGCGAAAAATGATGGAATTTTTCATTGAATCTAGCAAATTTTATAATTTAAAAATTACCAAATGGGGGCAAATTTTTACTTTATATTAAAAATATAAATACCCGTAGCATTGCATTGTTGAGGTCACTTTTACACAATAAAAATCTCTTCCTAACTTCATTAACCCTCCTATGCCCACGGCGAACATAAAATATGCTCAAGGAAAAATGTGTTTGTCAGTTGCTGCTTTGCTAGTTGTTAAACAAAATTTCCATGTAAATGGGCACGTGTAAGTTTGTTTAAACAAATACAGTTTGAAAAGTGGGGAAAAATGAAACGGTCCAGAAATCGTCTAGTTAATCATTAGCAAACATACATGCACACTTTCTTACATCTACTTACATGCATACATACATACATACATACATACACACATATATACGTGTACATACTAAACTAGAATGTGTGCGGCAGTGAATGCTCATGCATTTACTTAAAAGCAGACAGACAAAGCCGTCCGTCAGTTCGTCAACCAAGCAGAAACGGTAATTACCAGCATCAATTTCATTTAATAACAGATTCTTTTCTCATTCTCATTTCCCCTTTTGCTATGTGTTGGCTGGTTGGTTGGTTGCTAGCACTTTGCTTACATACGTGTACATACTAATATACTTATATATATGTATATGTATGTGAATATATAAGTAAATATTTCTTTTACCAACTGACTTTATGACTTGAGACGGTGTTGATTTCCCATGTTGGGCAAAATACATATATTTCTTACTTCATATACTCGTACATTGGATGAACATTTCTATATACATATATATATATACTCGTATGTATCTTGTTGTTCTTGTTTTAGTAAATCACTATTGTTGGCGCTCCTCTATTAATTCCATCATCTTAACACCGCTGTTTCCTTTAGCAGCCAAACTTGGCCTACGCTTTTGCATATAACTGCTTTTGTAACTCCATACATACATACATACATATGTACATATATTTAAGAGTTTATACAAACTAAAATGAAAGACAGCGTAAGCGGCAAGAGTAATGTGTAATAATAATGGAGAAACGGTTGACGTTTCTGCAATGCTATTTAGTTTTACAACAACAACAACAAAAACAACAACAACAGCAAATAACAAATAAATAACAACAGCAGCAGCAAAATCAGCAGCTTAAGCTGCGGCCGTAGCTATGAAGGTGAACCACCAACACGTTACGCATTTACTTTGTAAATTTGTTGCTATAGTTTTTTATGTTTTTGCTTTTTTGTGTGTCTTTTTCATGTATTTTTTCTTCTAACAAAACAAATAAGGTAGCGCAGAGCTCATACACGTAGAAACGCATAATTTTGCCATTTAAATAAAATACGTTAAATAGCCACGCGCACACGTGCATGGCGACAAGCAGACGCACAAGCTAATATTAGCTGTATTAATACGTATTTATACGTATATACATATGTATATATTAATGCATCAAACATATGTGTAAAGTAAAATATGTAATTAGCTATTGTATGTATATGTATAAAATGTAATTTTAGTGGCCACTGTTGTAGATTTGTTTGTATGTTTATTTAATTGTTGTCTAAATGTGATATGCGCACTAAGGTAAGTAAGTTATTGTTAATAATAAAAAAAAATTACTTCTATAAACACGAATGTAGTGATATGTATTTACATATAGTAGACTGCAGTAGCTTGAGAAAAAAAAATATAATTAAAAATAATTAAAAAAAAAAATTATAAAAAATAAAAAATATAAAATGAATAAAAAAATAAATTAAACAATTTGAAAAACAAATAATGTACTTGTATTTATTTTTCATTGCCAAACGGCTTGTAAACACCTATTCGCACTATTTTTAGCTCTGATGCTGTAGACATTACGGATTTTCTTACAAATAAAATATGTACATACATACATTAATGCTAATGTAACATTCTAAGTACACCAGTTGAGCATTGTACTCAGACATAAATAATAAAAAAATATATATTTATAAGTATAAATTTATATAAAAAGCATAAAGTGTTGCCCTTGCACATTTATTGACCTTAAAAAATTTATGGTATTTTATTTCACAATGAAAACGCGTTTTTTCAGATATTTTTTAAAAAGAAGAAGAAGTTTTTGTTAGACAATTACATACTATATTTGAGCTTCAAAAAACAATTTTTTGGTATCAAAAGAGTTTGGAATTGTCTAATGTCGTAGTGAGTTTACCGCGATCTGAACTTGTGAAACGGTGCCGGTGATGCAACTGATTTTTACCAAAAACAAATTACTTTTTTTAACAAAAAAAATTACTTTTTTTTAACAAAAAAAATCACTTTTTTAACAAAAAAAATTTTTTTTAACAAAAAAAAATCACTTTTTTAACAAACAAGAAATCACTTAAAGCTGCAAAAAGATATTTCTCTTAAATAACACTTTTTTCCACGTTTTTTCGTTCAATTGTCGGCACCGCTTCAAAGTACAACCAACTCGACGATCGGCCACTAAAACTGCTCTAGCTTCTAAAATATGACGAATTCGCCACTGAAATATTCTTGGATAGTTTTACAATAGATTTAAGAAAAAAATGCATTTTTTGAAGCCTCTAAAGCAGACTTCTGTCTTAACTCTAATATCTGAAAAATTGGTTATAATGATGAAGCTTTCCGATTTTGGTGATTTTCGGTGCTAACGTTCATTTGTATTTATGTGTATAGAATATGTACAACGCCTCATGCTCTTAGATGCCAAAACCTCATATCTGAGCAAATCGGTTGCATGGGGGCTAAGTGATATAGTCCTCCGATTACAATGATTTTCGGTCGCATCGTTTGTGTACGATTTATGGTCCTCTACGAGTTGGAATGCCAGATGGACCGATGAGCTGTACGAGCTATACAATGATATTGACATAGTTCAGCGAATGAAGAGACAGCCGCTTAGAAAGTTTTCGATGCATCCGCCGGTAGAAGCAGAGGAAGAGGGAGACTCCGTTGGGAAGGTCAGCTGGAAAAGTACCTGGCTGTACTTAGTATTTCCAATTGGCGGTGTCAATGCCAGTAAAGAAGAAGAAACATGATACAAACATGATAGAAAAATAAATATAAATAAATTACTCCTTCAAGAAATTTGTTTCATGGTTAGGAAGCATTCAGCAATTAAAGCAAGCTTTTTTTTAACTTTTTTTAAGCTTAAACTTTTGCAACAAATCCTTGTTATTGATTTTTGATCTTTTCTATCAATGAAACCTTCATTTTTACTTGTTGTTTTATATTTACAATTAAATGCTATACCCCGACCTCTATGGAGTCTACTAGAAAATTACTTAAAAATACCCAAATGGTTTTATTTGAGCTCAGATATCCGGATATCAAGGGGAGCGAACAGTTCGATAACCGTTCATTGCTCTACCTGCTCAAATGCTTGCTCGAAATTCTTAAATTTTCAATATTTTTTTGACAAGATGTTTTTTTAGTTCCTCAATGATTTTTTACTCTTTGTATAACAAAACGTAAAATTATAGGAAGAAGTCAACAATCGTGTTCGAAATGCTCGAAAAAGTTCGTATTGCTCAAAGTAAATTCACACACGGTACTAATATGAATACAAAAACAAAAGAATACAAAAACAAAAAGTCTATGCTCGAACTCGTACTCGAAAATTTTCGAATTATGAGCAATTAAAGAAGTGTGGAATACTCAGTGCTCAATTCTTCGACCTGCTGCAAAATGTTCGAAAAAGTTCTTCAGCTCTATTATAGACTTTTTTAACTAGAAGGTCTACCACATACTAAAAAGAAAGTGATAAAAAAAAATGATAAATGGAATTTTTTGACTTTGTTCGAACTAATTTTTGTTTCACCTTGTCAACATTGTCAATTTTAATATAATTTTCTTTTTTTGACAAAAATTCGGTAATCGCAGGTAAAACGAGATATTGATATTAAGCTTAAAGGATTTTAGTAAGATATTTTATTATTTATTTTGTCCAAATAAAATCGTTCATATTTGGGTATATCCTGCCAATCAAAACGAAATTGGTGCCTACATTTAGGCGCTAGATGAAATAGCTAAAAATTAAAAAAGGATTCGATTTGAGGTCAACTCTGGGAGCTGATTTAAGAACTCTAACTAAATGAAGTATAAAAATTAACCGTTAATACGGAGAAAAATTCTTGTCGATGCTTTGAACGCTCATTTCGTAAAGAAAAAACTAAAAAAAAAATCCTAAACTGTTCAAACATTTTCGAGCAGCTCGAGCATTTGATCCAGGAGCACACATACAACTGTTCAGTGTTCATTGCTTGCATTTCGAGCTTTGGCGAGTATTTTGAATAAAAATTTTAAAATATTTCTTAGCACTTTATATTTTAAACATTTAAATCCACTAAGCTAAAGTATAAAAATAAAAAAGAAGAATAGCGCCTGAGTTATAAGTAATTTACCTCTTAAATATTTTTCATTTAATTTTTTTTTTAAATTGCAACCGCATCTTTGTTGAAAGAAAATGAAATCGAAAAGCCGACGCACAAAAAAAAAACAATGCTAAGAACTTGGCCAAAAGCAAAGTAAATGAAGGAAGGAAGCAACTATCTCTTGCTAAATTCTTATGGCATCTTAGTCATTAGGGAATTTCCTTTATAACTTTTAGTTTTTTTTTCATTTTTCCTTTATTTTTTTGTCCCCTCCTTTAATTAACTTATCAATAGTACGGTTTCATACATAATAGTTGTAAGATTTTGTTGTACGGCATTTGGATTTAAACTTTGACTCACCTCAATTTTTATTTTTTTCACTACTAAACGAATGCTGGTCTTCTCAGCTGCTGCTGTGAATTTTACTGATTTTTTTTTTATTGTTTTGGTTGTTATTGTTGTCATAAGCTCACACAGCTTTTCGTATTCTCAATTCGTTGATTTGGTTGATGTGTTGCTACTGCTAGTGCTGTGCTGCTGTTGTTGCTGTTGCTGTTGTTATTACTATTGCTTTTGCTGTTACCACTTTAATATATGTAGGTATGTATGTATGTATGTATATGTGTACGCGGTTTATGTACATGTGTATGTATGTAAGTACGGCCGACCGCTACCGCAAGTAAGAAACCTGTTTTTCACAATTCTTCTTCTATTCACTTTTCGCATACATTTACACTTGCATTGACACACATACACATGTATTTTAAACAAGATTTGTATACACACTTGCACACACGCACACACACTCACACACACACACACACACGCGCGCGGCACACACGAATTTCGCACTTTTTCCTGCTGCTTGGTAGCTTGGTGCTTTTGCTTTTCCTTCTTACTTCTTACTTCAATTTGACTTCTTACAACTTTTTAGATAGCAATTCAATTGAAAGAATTGAATCTTTTGCGTTATTTCGACGTTTTTCCGTTTCGTGATTGTACAAATTTTTCGCGTTTATTTTTGTTGACTCAACCCGAAAAACACCACCATAAAAATATCTTTGATTTTCTTATGCACTCGCTTACATACATATAGAGCCTTTTTTCTACGAGTACTATCGTAAAATTTCTTCACACGCACATATCGACTACGGACTGGTTAAGCAAATCCATTACGAACAATGCAATGCGTACTGTTGCTTTATAAGTTTGATTTTATTTGGCTTTAAAATCTTTTTTCACTTTTTCGTATTGTATTTTTATTGATATAATTACAATAAGAATTGTATACTTATTTAAAAGACAAGAAACAAATAGCGACTTCTATCGTCATTCTCCCCGTAAATAAATAACAAACACCAAACGACCGTTCCACGCCGAGTCTATCCGATGACTACTGGTATCCAACTCAAACAGACTGTCCGTTGCTCCAACACAAGCTTTGTAAAGGCCAAAAGATACAATATAAATGTTTCCAAAGTTTTGTCTCATCAAAGCCTGCGCGCTCACTAATGTACATACATACATATATGTGCGCTCTCGCACTCTCTCGCAATACCAAATAGTTACAAATTTGTTTAATATCCGCCAAGGTGGTTGAGAACGAAAGCCAAAGCATAAAAAATCGTAAACAACTTTTGGCCAAGAGTAGCTTATACTCATGACTAATTTTTAAATGTAAACCAAACACAAACAAACCAACCGTACATGCAACTAGAATTGGCAATTGTGAATAAAGATTTTATTAAGGTGTTTAAATATTATTTTGTAGAACACAGTTTTGTTTATTAACTTGTTAATATACATATATGTATACATATTCACGACATACGACATGCTTACCACTTGACATTGTTTTTAATGAACTTCACATATATCCACTATATCCGTTGTATATGTATGTATGTGCATTTTGTTATGTTTTAAGAACAATTGAAGTTTCAAGTGGCTCCAGCACCAGTTGCACCACTACACATCCACCCACGCCATCAAACATAAAAGTCATTGCTTCGGCCGGTAACAGATGTTTAGTATGCAACGTTCGTTAATTTCATTTCCGATTGCATACTCTTCTATTGTGAATGGTGCACTATTGCAGCCATCAGCAGGGTTGCTACTGTAATAAACGTTCTTTGGTGCTGCGAAGATTTAAATAATTGCATAAACTTACTATTAAACTTTCCTTCAAGATGAACGAGAAAAAAACGAAGCATCTCTTGGCATCAAACAAACAGTTAGCGCATTGAAGTCTTGGTACCCAAGCATACGTTGGCAAGCAGCGTAACTGGAAAGTATCATTTTGAATTTCAGAAACCAAGCTGCTTTTTACAGGAGCAATGTGACACAACTTAAGCCTGTTAAAACCATCTAACGCTAAAAGAAGAACATAATTCAACAAATCTACAAATCACGAACTATTTCGTATTCGAGAACCCAGTTCAAATTTATGTACATATCAGTCCCTGGCTGCTGGGCTCTTTCACCTTTGTTAAAGCGGCTAGCTGAACGCCGCTTAATAACAGACAAAATCAGTCAAAGTCATCGAGGTCACAAAAAAAGAAGTCTAGGAAACGAGCTGTTTATATGGGATGGCGTTGTGGTAACACCATGACAGATATTGCTTACACAGCATAACACTGCTTAGTTGGAAGTATAAATGTTTTTCTGTGTGAGAAATTCGCAAGGGAATTAAGTAGGAGTTCCGTAACCGGTTGCCTGGTAAGGTGAGAACAACTTTTTTTATCCTACCGCTGTCGTATGCGGAGTAATGAAGTGCTACATCTTCAATCAATCTGACATTACTAACAATTGGATCTTTAACCTCTTCGATTTTCTGTAAGTGGTCTGCTGAGGATTTCAGTGATTGTAGCTATAGTTGTTGTGCTGCCGTTTGAAATAAAATTAATCGAATTGGGAAAATCTTTATAAAATTTTCCTTTCATCATATTTTACCTAATTTTATTGGAAAGTTATATACATACTTATATATGTGAATATGTGTTTATCTAAAATCGTTAGAAATAGGTGTCATACACTGAGACGCTTTTCAAAGAAGCAATTGAATTTCTAATTAGCAGTAACACCCTGTGCGGCAGATCTTTCAGCTCATTCTCGCATGCGGTTCATGGTATTTGTTGCGTACACCGCTTATCTCTATCATGTGGCATTATATTGCAAAATAACAACAAAGCACAATAGTCGGAAGCAGAAGCAGCGAAACAGCGAAAAAGGTCGGAACAATTATTAACAGAACATCGGGCTTCAACAAGAAAAATGTAATAATAAATCTCAAATCGAAATTGAAAAGTATTAAAAAGCAAATGTTTAAATTTCATAATGTTTAGTTGATGTAAATTCATTAGCAAGAAACAATTGCACTTCCTTGTTAAAGTCTGTGAAAAATTGCAAAACAAGCGTCGATCCGATCGTCGGTAAGAAGAGGAAGAATTGTTCAAAGACTTTGCTGGCAGCAGAGGAGGCGAGCAGCTGCGGCTCATCGTGGTGTGAAAACTATAGTAACGCGCTCGAAGCGCCTACATTGCTTTGCATTGGCGCGGCTGTAATTGCTGACAATTTTTTTTTTATCATATGCTTTGTGTCAGCGAAATTTCGTTTACAAATGATATGTACATATATTTTTACTTTTTCTCTTCTCAGTTATTTAATCCAACCCAAAAATTGTGTGGTGATCGTGTAGGTGCTTGGAACAAATTCGGGAATATTTATTCTGAATAATAGAGAAAAAATGGTGCGTCGTCGCGCTACCAAAGCTGCAGCGGTTACTGGCGGTGGTGCGCCAAGCGAAAACCATAATTTGTTAGAAAATGTAGAACTAAAGTCTACAGTTGGCTGTACACATTTGGAAGAACAGTACTTTGCAAGTCCCAAACGTAAAGACTGTAAGATTGATAACTGCTCAACGGAAATGTTGTCCGGTAGGGAACAAAAAATCGAAAAAGAAGCAAAAACACATGGAAAAACAAAATCGTCTTCGTCGTCGTCTGGTGCTGGCAAAGCAAAAAGCGAAAGAGGCGGTATCGCGGGCCGCACGATTGGTAAGTATTTTTCGGCGAGTAAACATTGCGCCATGTTTTAGCGCGGTTTTTTTTTACATATATTATATAATTTTGTTTTAAATTAGTTTATAAAAATGTTATCAATAAAATTTGTACTTGTCAAATTCTTGAAAATAAATTAATCAATTTTCATTTTGCAGGTGTGCCTTTGGCCACGCGTTCACAAACACGCACAATAGAAAGTTACTTCAAAGCTAAAACTGCTGCCAATAATGCTAAGCTACTGGAGACTTCTGAAAACAAAAATATCGCGCCAGTCGCCAACCCGGAAGAAATATCATCATATGAAGACTTGTCCCATTATAAGCAGATTGATCAGCCACCAACACCAGATACACCTTGTGATATCGACGATGACTCCAATGACAGTGAATATTCTGAAAAGTTGACACATCAGACAGTTTTTGGTAGCGATTTTTTAACACATCGCTCACAGTTACGTGACAGTCACTCATCAACTGGCAGTGCTTGTACAAATATCAGCAATACAGAAAATATATTCTTGCAGGAACCTGTACTCACATTAAATGTAGACAAAACGTCAAACCAAGCGACATCAATTAAAATTAATACGTCACTCGGAGTTGAACCTGTATTTTCATCACCACCAGCGCTTACCTCTGTATTGAATGGTCGCTTCAATCAAATTGTCTCACTTAACATTTCCCAATGCAAACGTGATCCATTCTTATGTGAAAAACAAAATATGGCTGCGGTAGCTGTACACGACGATTTAGTTGAAGGGTTATTACCTGAGCAAGAAAATGACAATGATAATAGTTCATGCGATAGTGGTGTTGCTTTCACCACAACAAATACAGATAAAATGGGGCCAGTACAAAATGATAAAATCGAGCTTGTTACATCTGCTGAACACACACGTCGACGTAAACCCGCAACGCCACATCGCATTGTGTGCCCATCGCCAATAAAAACTATGCCACCCATGATCTCACCTATACGAGCAGCTATAACAAATGACAGAATTTTATCCCCTTCAGGACGTAAACTTCAAAAAGAACCATTGTCGCCTCGAAAGTCACCACGACAAATGACAAGTGTACATACCAAAACACGAAGAAGACTTAATCCTCAGAAGGAGTTCGGTGCATTCAATAATGCTGAGGAAGTAGCAAAGTTGCTAACCGATGAATGCGCTGAAGCAATGGTGAGTGTTTCTCTTATGTTTCTTGCCAAAATAGTGAATGTCCTACCTGACTTCCTTTACATAACCTAGTATTAGAAGGGCATTTATTAGTATTGTATTAGATATTACATATAACAAAATGCTTGACGTTTCAGCGTTGCAAAGTGAACAAAAAAAAAAAAAAATATATATATATTCATATAGCACATGCTACCAAACTCTGATTTATTTTTTGCTTTTTTTTTTTTTTCAATTTTTGACACATTATTGCAACTACAAGAACGATAATGCTAGAGTTTTTGGAAAAACAGTGAATAGTTTTTAGGCCAGTTGCCTGATTATCTTAAACCTAACAAGAAGAAAAAAAAGAAAAAAAAATAGATTCTCACTTTACATTTACATGCATTCCTGAAAACAAACAAATTTAATTATAAAAATGATATTTTATCCTAACCAGAATGACAAAATTGTAGCTAAGACTATGTACGATGAGCAGTTCAGCTGTGAAAATCAAAAGGCGGCTCATACAGCGCAGGAGAAAAAGTGTATGCCGTTGGTCGTTAATTCAAAACAAATGCAAAAACCATTTGCTCCAAGATCCCATGTGGTCAAAGCGCCCAAATCAAAATTAAAAAATGGCTTACCACTAGCCTCAACAGACAATAATCATAAGGTAAAAGAGTGCTTCCCCGTGCGACGGAGTGTACGCAAAACGAAAACTGCCGTTAAAGAGGAAAAAATGCGTAATCTTGAAAGAGCTATACTCGAGGAACAGGCCGACGGTTTGAAGGTGGCATACTTTGAGGGTAAGGGACGTGGCATTGTAGCCGATCGACACTTTCAACGTGGTGAATTCGTGGTCGAATATATTGGTGATCTGATACCTATGCATGAGGCAAGTGAACGCGAAAAACGTTATGCTTTGGACGAGAACGCTGGCTGTTATATGTACTATTTCAAGCACGAAAATCAACAGTATTGCATAGATGCCACCGCGGATACTGGAAAGTTAGGGCGTCTTGTCAATCATTCACGCAATGGCAATCTGGTCACCAAGATTGTGGTTGTTAAACAAAGACCACATCTGATACTATTAGCAAAGGATGATATCGAGCCCGGAGAGGAATTAACCTACGATTATGGTGATCGTTCAAAGGAATCGCTGTTACATTATCCTTGGCTGGCTTTCTAGAGCCATGCCAACAGACGACGGCGGCGTGAGGAGGCTAAAACATATTTAGTATGACACATGCAACAAATAAATCAAGTGCTCAATGACGAAGCGAAAGTCATCGTCTTCGGCGGCGGCGGCGGCGGCGGCGACATAGAGAGGTAGAGTTAAATGTCGAAAAAAGTCTAGTTAAAATTAAAATTAATTGATAATGTTTTGCGCAAATACATACATATGCGTGTTTGTGTGTGCGCGTGCGTGGGCTGGGCGTTAGCACGACGTTTTATGGCTCAATTGCAGCATAGTTGCATAGACAAATTAATAGATACTAATTGAAAAATACTTTTGAATAAAATGCTACAGCATATTTAATAATAATAATAATCACGATTTATAACATTAATATTTTATAGACTTATTTCGGTAATTGTTAATGCTTTATTAGTGTTAAGTCCAAAGAAGAGGAAAAAAAATGAAAACAAGATGGCGTGTGCACAGTGTAATAAGGTGGGATAGAGAAGAAAAACATAATTTTTTGATTTGATTTTATGTATACATATGTATATTTGGCAAGGTAAAAAAATGTTGAATGCATAATCGATTAAAAAATATTGATTTAAAGTTATACCTTTCTTTTAAATATAAAAAATGTTTGAAAACATTACGCCACACTCAAGGTTACACTGTGTGCCCCTCTTGTTCTTCTTTCCTATATCATTCTACAACTGAATTGTGTTCAAACTGCATTGACAGCCGCGACAAATGGCGTCGGTGCATGCGGCATATGAAACAACAGAAATTCATAGCATTCAAAATTTTCTTTCAAAAAATGTGCCACAAATCAACAAAAAAAAAACAAAAATTCTGTATGGATCTACAATCAATAAAAAAGTTCCAATTTACTTTAAAAATAATATATTAAAGAAGAAAGCATATACAGTTCAATTAGGATGTAAACACGCCTTTTCAGAACAAAACTTATAGGCGACCATATGCAATTGGGTCGTACGTACATACATAGTATATACAAAGCATACATATTAAGTACACAAAAAAACTTTAAGAAAAAAAAGAATAATTATTTTAAGAAAAAATATGCTATGTTAGAAAGTCATGAGAATTTGTTAAAACACCATTAAGTTTTATTTGCAAATATAAATCATAAAGCGCATAAAGCATGAAATGAAATACATTAAGCAAATACACTCCCGCATTGACTAATGCAGAAAACAGTTAATAACACATACATATATGTTTAAGCGACACTTAAAGGTAAATGTAGTTAACAATTTATAAGTGACCAAAAGAGTAGGAAGCAAAAAAATAATAATAATTAAAATGAATATAACTAAAAAATAATGAATCGTAAACACTTTGCATTGCAAGTTGTCAAAAACAAAAAAAAATTGTTAAATAAAATTTTACAGTTTCATATTCCTTGAAAAAAGGTGTGAATAATGATAGATGAATAATGCCCATCGAATTGGTGTTAAAAGAAGAAAAAAAACCACAAGCTGCTGAATATATTACTTTAGCATTAAAGATAAACATTTTTTCGTAATTAATAAGTGCACATTTTTACGTTTTATGTAAGTACGTCATCACATTTTGTTCCATAGCAAAATAATTTATCACAAAACCACTAATGGAAATAAATTTAAATGAATAATATGAAAATGACACACGAAACAATCATTGATAGGCTCACCATAAACCACAGACCACAAACTATGAACAAACAAATTATAAAAAAAAAAGTAAATACATCCTTTCAAAATAAGATTGTCTCAATGTAGCGTCTATATTTAAAAAAATAAAAAAAATACATACCTGCCTAAGCTCTACACGCAATTTCAAAATAATAAATAACTTTAACATAATAAATGTTTATTTAGCAACATATTCATAAAAAAATGTGCCTCTGCGTGACACGTAGTAAATACATATATGTATAATGGTGCGCATGTTGTAAGCAATTTAATGCTAATTGCATTAGAATTTCGCTTATTAAATTTAGTATGCTTGAAGTAGGTTGCATTGGACTGTTCCACACTGCTAGTGCACAATTTTGAAGTATTTACTATATACATTTTATTCTTTTCTAAATAACGCGTTCAATCAACGACGTAATAACTAATTTTCTAAGCGGAAATAAAGTAAAAACGCTGACTGATCTGAAGTTTCATAAATTTTACCTAAATTTACCTCTAATTAATTAATTAATATTTATAGTATTTTTAAACTTTCGAAAACCTCATCTCAAACCTACTTCATGCTAAAAAAAAAAAATAACAAAAAAAAGGTTTCAACAACAATTAATGTTGCACTGATCGTAGGCATACACACATACAATTACTTGTTGCATAAAAACGACAGTTTGAAAATAAATAAAATATATAAATGTAAAAATAGATGAAAATGCAATAAATGTGCGCTTAAAATATGTTATAAGTGAGATTTACGTTGATTGAAAAAAAAATACTTTTTCAAGCTATTTAGACAGAAAAAAATCAATTTTATTTTCACTAAAATAAATATAATTTTAATATATTTTAATTTATTTTTTTTTTATTTTCATTTTTTTTTTTATTTTTTTTTTGTTTTAATTTTTTATTTTTTTTATTTGAATTTCTTAATTTAACCATATTTTTCATTGATTATTAACAAATGAGGGCATCCAATTGTTAAAATTTTTTGTGTATGAGACTTTTTACGATTAACATTTTATTGTATTATTTGCGTTATTTATTAGAAAATTAATATATTTTTGGTTTTATCATAAATTTTCTAGTGGAAAAAATAGATTTTGTTTTATAAAAATTCTCCATTTGTGCTATTTTTTTATGTATGAAAGATTGCATAATTTGAGGCGCATGTAATTTTCCTTATCTATTATCACACAAGTTTGTGGGAATAAAGTGAAAAAGCAGGAAGTTAAAGTTTCCAACAATATATTTCGCTTTTTAATGCAATTTTCAATTGAGCTCCGTATCGATTTTTATTTTTTATAGAAAATCTGACAACTGCGTGGTGAACTAGAATTTTCCACTTTCGCCTAGAAATATAATCTGAATTTTAATAAAGCTCTAAAACAAAATAACCGTTGTTAAAGTGTTGTTAGAGAGTTGTTGCGGTGCTCATGTAGAGGTTATGTTTTTTTATTTACTCTTTTTTGTTTACATTTTATAACTAAAATAGTTTTAAGTTTGTTATGCATAACAGAAATGCAATTAGTTGCTAATACATATTTATGTATTTAAATATACTTCATTTGAAGGTGAAAATCTTAATTTTATTTGCCACACTTGACTTTTAAATATTTAAATACGAACTTATAACCTTAAAACCCATAATAATTTTTTTTTATGAAATAATCACTTACAAATTTAAAGCATATCTCTCAACTAAGCACTAACAAGTACTTTGTACATAGCATAAGTCACAAGAATTGTAGATTTTCGCTTTTTCGTTGGAACTTTAAAGAAACTTCGAATACAGCCGGCAGTTAGAAAATATAAAGTTTATTCCCTAAACACGCTTCACTTAATTTAGCTAATATGAGGTATAAGGCTCATGCATACAAACATATTGTACATCTATGCATATAAACTTAGAAAGTACCAATATAAACGCGAAAAAAACATATATTAAATTATCATTAAAGAGAAAAAAAAATTATTTAAAGTGCAGTGAATTGTTTTAAAACAATATAAAGAACAAGAGACAAAAATTAAGCATTAAAAATCAAACAAAAACACATTCTGTACTTTTATTTAAGCAAAAAAAAAAATGCAAGCAATAAACAGGAATTTTTTCTTTTAAAAAAACCTAAAATGCCGTAAAATAAATGCAAATTCACAATACAAAAAAATAAAAAATACTCATGCCATAAAAGACCAGCTAAATTGTATAAAAATTTATTTATGCCAAAATATTTATTTTTACATTTCAATGCATTAAAAAAAATTTTACCGACAATAAATTGCCACAAATGTCAAAAACAAAACAGTAAACCAAAACACCAATAATTGCTTATGGAAATACATACATACATTTTTTCTTCACAATTTTAATTTGTTTACTGCACTTAATGTATTTAAAGTATTCAATTTACTGTTTTTCATTTAAAAGTATTTGCATTATTCAACGCGTCGCATTGCAAACTCATTCATAATTAAATAAAAATAATAAGTAGTTGTATAATATATAATTTTTTAAGTTTTCCTAGTACTAAGATAAAGCATAAAGAAAACAAAACAAATATACATACATGCATACATACCTAGACTTAAGTGAAAAAGAAAGATTTATAAAAATAATCAGTTTGTATTTAACTACATAGTATTTAGTATATGCACTGATATTCACAAAAAAATATATTATATATTAAAAAAAAAAAAACTTCATTAAATAAATAAATAAAAAAGATTAAAAAAAAAAATTTTTTTTTGGCGAAGATTTCAAATTGGCTATTTGACGACGGGAAATATGACTAAAGAGCATAACTCATAGCATTTGTAGCGGTCTGAGCACCGTTTAAGAGATTACCTTCTCAATGGCCGGAGTATTGAATACCGGAAGCAAATAAAAAAATAATAAAAAAAAATTCTATTCACAAAACGTTGTATAAATATATACTCGAATATGATTTCGCAGACGTGGGTGGCTACTTTCACAACTCCTGCAAAAAAGTCATAAGGAATAGCTGCAATAAGCGCAGCACTTCAGTGACACTGTGGCATTATATTCCTTCATTATTCATTTCTTTTGACACTTGAAAAGGTGCCTGGTTGACCTAAAATGTCTTAGACTTCCAAAAGAACTGGAGTACTGTAGTCTACTCAGACTTTCAGCCAGCACCGCGCCAGTGTGGCACATTGAAACACCATAAACCAAATAATACGAAGTCTCAAATGGAACCGGTGCTCTGGGCGAGCTGCTTAGGCCACACAGTGTAGGTCAGTGCTACTGTGTGATTTTGGCTATCATTCTTTACGGTCAGAGATCAAGAGGTGGACCATGAGCATGAGTTTCTAGGCTGAATTCAAAATTTAACTAACAAGCCACCGGGTGATTTCCACATTCTTCTTCTTTATTAGCGTAGACACCGCTAATCCGATTATAACCAAATCAACATTACTGCGCCATTCATTTCCCTTTTTCGCTGTTTGCCACCAATTGGAGATAGCAAGTTCAGGCAGGTTCTTCTCAACCTGGTCTTTCCAACGGAGTGGATGCCTTCCCGTTCCTCTGCCTCCACCGGCAGGTACTGCATCGACAACTTTCAAATGGAATGCTTTCAACTATCCTGACCATATGTCCTAGCCAGCGTAGCCGCTGTTTCTTGATTTGCTAAACTATACCAATATCGTCGTATATATCATACAGCCCATCATTCCAACTCGTAGAGGGCCATTAATCTTTCTCTCGAAAACTCCTAGCGCCGACTTATCAGATGTTGTCGTCGCCTATGCCTCCGCACCATATAGTAGTTAGTAGGTTTCGTTCTTCGGGAGAGGACTTTACTTTTCAATTGCCTACTCAGTCCAAAGTATCACCTGTTGGCAAGAGTGATTCTGCGTTGGATTTCAAGGCTGACATTGTTGTTGGTGTTAACAATGGTTACAAGATCAACGAAGTTGTCTAAGAAAGTTATGACTATCAACAGCGACGTGGGAGCCAAGTCGCGAAGGCGATGACACTTTGTTTGATGACAGGAGATTTTTCGTCTTGCCTTTATTCACTACCAGGCCTATATCCTTCGCTTTCTCATCCAGTCTGGAGAAAGCATAAGTAACGGCGCGGTTATTGAGGCCAAAAATGTCAATATCACCGGCGTCGCCACAGACTGTACACTTTTATAAAAGATTGTATCTTCTCAATTCAGCTCGGCAGCTCTTATTATTTTCTCCAGCATTCGATTAAAGAAGCCACATGATAAGGAGTCTCCTATTCTCAATCCTTTGGTATTCAACGACTTAGAGAGGTACTTCCCGATCCTGACGGAGCTTTTAGGGTTGTTTAAGGTCAGCTTACCTAGCCGTATAAGTTTTGCGGGAATACCAAACTCAGATATTGCGGCGTTAAGGCAACTCCTATTCGTATTATCGAAGGCGGCTTTAAAATCGAAAAAGAGGTGGTGTGTTTCCTCTCCTTCTTTCACTTCGTCTTTATCGGGATGGGAGAAAAAGTGTTCCCTGTATAAACTAGATTACCTCTTTCACTCTCCTTGTTGGCCAGGTTCTCCAGCTCTTCACTCTTATGCCTATTGGTTTCTCTTTTTATTTTTATTTACAAATGGGTCTAGCTTTCCGCTTCGACTCTCGTTATCTCCCCAACAAAGTGCGCTATTTAGTCTCGGCCTTGCCATTGACTAATAGTATTGTTGGCGGCTACACGGAGACAATTTCAAATATCGTCTCAGTGCCCTTATACTAAGTCGTTAAAGAGTGCTCTCAGAATGTAGGACTGCAAGTCGAGCAAATAAACATTTCACTGTCTATTACGATTGTAGCTTTTCCTAGAATACATGTTTATTCCATTACGAATTCTCCGACCCGCGACAACTATAAAGCGTTATTAGGCCTCTTAGGTTAGGGGCTCAAGAATTTACTATCGGTAAGGTATGCCTGTCGTAATACGCGGCTAAAATCCAGACAGTCCAGTCTTTATATCGGAGCTACACGGATTATTCGTCCAAGAACTACCACTCCCGCAATATTCCCTAAGACCGCTTTTGGGAATAATTTTGCGGTCACAAAATGTTGGAATCTGGCACTACATACAACTATCTTTCGGTCCGCTGTGAAATAAAGGCAGCATTAAAATTGAAGGTTTTCATCCGACGCAATAGTTTTTTCGTTGAACTAGTTTTTTCAGTTGCGATTCTCAGACCCTGTGCGAGAGAATAAAAATTCTAAACACATATATGAAGCGAACCGCTAACTTTAATCCAACCTACCGCTCGCAGCGGTCTAATGAGACTCCTGTGAACTCTCTCTCTCTCTCTCTCTCTCTCTCTCTCTCTCTCTCTCTCTTAGGACCGAAAGCATTGGAGTTGCTCACTTTGCCAGAGATGAGATGAGGACGTGATAGTAAGAATTGAATAGATCTTTGTAACCGTAACTGTATACCAAGAAGCGGGACTACACCCCATAACATTGTTTAATTAACAACCTTCTGAAAATTCTTGTAGCTCTAAGCTGCACTTATAGCTGATGAGGTGCTCGAACTGTCTTGAGGGATCTGCATAAACTTATTGTAGTGGATTTCATCCCAGGCACAAAGACCTAACGAATGCCCTGCATGCAACAAATCTACTCATGAATATAAATACTCTCTTATCCAGCTCATCTAAATAGCTTTCCCTCTAGTATTTTCTGTGAACGCCTGAAAGAGGTGACTGTGGAGCAATACTACATTCATATGTGAATATTGTAATCTGGTCACCCTAAAGAGCCCCACCGAAATGTGCTACTAAGCATGTAGACAAGTGTGTAGGTGTAATAATGACGTTGAAGTGCTTATTACCTTGGACAAAAGATTAGTAGGCATTGCAAGTACGCAAAGATTAACGAGTGTGACCTAATGAATCAATCCCGAAGGAGGTAAGACGCTGGGGGATGCAAAGTAGTTTGTGCTTTGACAAGTCAACTATTGGGTAAGGAAATTGTTCGCACATGAAATTTATTTCAAGTCAGTTTCATTAAATTTTGTACTGTTTTCTTTATTAACAACTTTAACACGCCCAATTACAGTAAAGAATTTAAAAGTTTTCTATTCAAATTTTTGTTTATTACACATATTTATGTAACGATTCATCATAAAATTGCAAATCAGCTTAATTCTTAATTAAATTACAATATGTAGATAAAACAAATGCTATTTCAAAAAAAAAAAGAAAAATATTTAAAAAAAAAAATGTAGATAAATTTAAAAAAAAAAAATTGTGACAAACTACAAAAAGCAGCAGAACGATAACAATTAAACATAAAAATAAAAGAACTTAATTATTTATTTAGCTTTTATTATTTAATGGGAAAAATATGTTGTTAACAATTTGTGCCTAATGTGCGATCAAGCATGCATTTTTAATCGATTAATTTGGCTAACATTTTATTTTTGTTTTACTTTTGCAAGCATTTGCACTTAAAGAGTAATACACCGATATATTATTGTACATACTAGTACTATATTTGCAAATACAATAGTATTTATTTATACATATGAACGTATGTAGATGAATAGGAATGTCAGTTACTGATAGCCTTTGCTTTTAATGCATAACATTTAAGAATTAGATTGGATGTAATAACAATATATGTATGTATATATGTACATATGTATGTATGTTGCATTCGAATTCATAATAACAATTCACACAAGCGTCTTATAGCCGCCACCAACGACGAACATGGGTTAGGTTTGATAAAAACAAAAAAACAAAAATGAGCAAGAAATATTTGCCTCCCATAAATCTTTCTAGGATTTTATATTTAGCATAAGAGATAATTTTGGAAAATGTTACTGTTGGTAGCTATAATAACAATAACAAAAAAATATATATTTTTACTATGGCTTATTTTGTATTTTTATGTACTATCATTGCAGTTAAGCGACTGTAAAAGTTTCCAAAAATTTCTTATTAACATGCAATAAACCAGTATGCATTCTAAATGCACAATTATAGTTTTATATACTTATAAGTAATGTATCTGTATACATACATACATATATAAGTGTACAATGACCATGAACTAACTGACACTTATTGCATTTTGTCCAACTTAAAATAGTGTATATGTTTGAAAAATATATGCATTTAGTGCACAATACATCAATAGTTGCTGACAAAGCATTTTTAGTTTAATTTCTTTTTCTATAAATTTGTTGAGTTACTTTTTTGTTTTTGTTTTTGTTTTTGTTCTGCTTGTGCCTAGCAGCATAGTGATGTATCAATCTATCCATGTACATGTGTGTGTATGTGCGTCCATTTCATTTATTGTGTGTTTTATTGTGCAACTGCCACGGGAGCCTCTACTTTTGGCAAAACGCCAAAATTCAAACGTAATTGTTCCAAGAACACGAATGTAATAATTGTATGTGGACCTAAACGTACAAACGCCGGTATGTAGCCTTTAAAGAAACCAAGTGGTCCCAAACGTGCTGTATATTTGACAATATCCCATAAGCCCTTAAATTCACCCGGTTTAGCGTTCATGGAACGTGTCTTCAGTACGTCCAATGGTTGAGTTAAAGTTGTCGCAATTGCGCCGGCAGCCAAAGAAGCAGAGAAATGCGTTGCTAAATCATCTCCAAAATAGGGTGTAGAAATCAGCATTGTTTTAATCTGTAGAAAGTTAATAAAATGCACATATAAAGTAAGAATCTTATAAAGTTTTACTCATTCATTTACTTGATCATAAAATGCTATTTGGCCAATTGTCATTAAAACTCCTCTGCCAGTGGCAGTGGTGGCGCCAGAAAACAAACGTGTAAAACCCTCGTGTCGGTACACTTTAATCAAACCATCGAAGGCATTTTTGTAGCTGAATTGCATAAAAAAGGAAAATCAATAATTAGCACATATGCATATATTATTGAGAATTTTACTGATAACGAAAGTGAATATAAAGCAGTTTAGAATCAAAATTAAAAAATCACGCAGTCTTATCAATGAAAAAAAAACACACACACAAATTCGCATGTACTCACTTTCTACGCTGATCTGCTGGCAATTTGACATCGTTTTGCATACGCACATTCACCATATCCGCCGGCGTGCCAACAATACCGCCTGCGGTGCCGGCCAAACCAGCAAGTGTAATTTTGCCGAGGAATGTATCGGTGTTAATTTGTTTCTTACCAGCCTCATAAATACCAAAACGCGTCATAGAGTACGTCATCTGACGTAGGACGGAAGCAGACAAACCATTATACAGTGCCAAAACGCCTGCAATCAATTAAAATCGTAAATAACGCACATAAGTATACAGACATTTTACAAAAAAAAAAAAAAAATTGTATTAAAAAAAATTCAATATTCAAAAAAGTATCCAAGTTTCTTCACTTACCCTGCTCGCGCACAACTTTTACTGTTAACTGCAACACAGATAATTTGCCTTGTTGTGTCTGCAATGTCACCTTAATTAAATCCAGTGGATGTGTACAGCAGGCGGCACCAGCACTGGCTATGCCACCAAAGTACCAACGACCTTGACGTGGTGTGTTTACAGTTGACATTTTATTTTGTAAAAAATATTGTTACGTGTAAATATTGGACTGCAGGAGTGTTTGCGGGTGGGTTGGATATTGGTATTAAGCTGTAATTAAAAATTGTGCTATGAGTATTTGTTGAATATTTTATATATAGAATATTTAATTACATATATTATATTAAGGTTTAACATTAGTCATTGAATGAGTAATATTAAAAGTTTTCACATTAATTTACATTATATATATTGCCACACGGATTTGAAGAAATATATGTCTGCAAAGTAGCACCTGTAGCGGATGCCCTTGTCGCAAACCCACCCATTTAACTATAAAACCCCTACTTCCGTTTTAGCTCACTTCCTTTTCATACCTCTTATAAACCGAAGAAATATTGTACTTTCGTTGAGTATTTTCTTTTTACTTCCATATTCAGTATATATGGAGTTATTTTAAAAAACTGTCATGTTTGGGCTGAACTTGTCCGGCGAATGTCACCATCAACTACTAAGCCTAATCTAATCTCATGAAAACGATGACTGTGTTTTTCTATTCTCCATGCTCTGCTGATGTTGATGCTGGTGCTGTCTGTTTGTGAACAGTAGCCAGTACCGATTTAAAAGCGACAAGTAAGTACATAAATGCGCGGAATATAAATATACTGAGGACGAAAATACGATTAAATTTAGTTTACGTAGAATAATTGCAAACACATTTTGAGTAGTTAAATGTTTTTTTATAAGTGAAAAAAATTCCATTTATTATAAAGCCTTCTACATAAAAGACTTTTCTATCAAAGAAAATGAGAACAACATCGATAATTTCCAGGCATTTGAATCATTCTGTGAAGCCACAGTTCTTGACATTTAGATTTGACAGCACTGTAAGCCATAACCATGTTGCCAAGGTCAGTTTATCTTTGTCGGAGTATGTTTTTTCAACATTTTTGGCAAATAAAATTTAACAATTTTAAAAAAAATATCTGCTAAATGTTGTTCTTAAGTAATAAGTTAAAACAAATTTGGAAAAGAAGTCAAACACTGCTCAAAAAGTGAAGCAGAATGATATTTTACTCATCACGTTTAAAATTATATTACGCCAATAATTGATAACAAGTCTCTCAGGACTTGGCAACACTGCTAATTGTTATTAGCAAATTTTCTATTTCTTCCTTCAATTATCTTTTTATATTAAAACAAGCGTATTATTTAACTAAAAAGTAAAAATTTTAAATCTTAAAGAAAGTAACATTACATATAATCTGTAAAAATTGTATACGTTTCATTGGAAGCACACATTTGTTATACTGTGCTCAAATTTTATTGATAAGTGTCTGTCACTGAAAGTGTGCTATTTCGTGTGGATAATTAAGTCCAAGTGAGTTACATACAAAGTCCCTACGTTATTTATGTTTAGAATATCCCATTACAACTCACTGCACAGAATTATATAAGAAATACAATATTCCTTTAATTAAATACTTTAGTTGAAATATTGCGCGCAATATTCTGTGCTAAGATTCAGAGGTGGTTAGGTTTGTTTAAGAGAAGAATGTTTACAAAGACATGAGAGTTCTTCATTATTCCAGGATGCATACAAATATTTGTATTGAAAAGTTTACCATTTATGAGAGATAACAAACAGAGTCATATGTATATGCTTACATGACTACGGACTCCTATAATATTGCAGAATATTTATTTGATAAAAAAGTGTAGCTGCATGAAGTTAGTTATAAACCATAATCTATGATCTCCTAAAGGTAAAAAAAAATAAAAGATGTGAAGGGAAATATTTAAAAGTGTAATTTCAAATTATAACCAAAACGCTGTATTCTTTATAAACAACTTAAACCATATTTAAAATGTTTAATTATTTTACTGTTTCCAACTGCTCATGCATATACATATGTACATAAGTATATGAATTTATATAGTTGTATCTAAGACAAACATTTTTATTTTCAGCTGCTAATCTAATGTCTTCACAAAGAATATTGTATTATTTACACAACAATAAATATGTGTGCAGGGGTAATTTACAGTTTTATCATAAAATAAAATATAAAGAAAACAAAATAATAAGTCATGTTATTGCCACAAATTAATTTCATACACGTGTATAATATGCATTTAATTTGTGTGCGTGCACATACCTATGTATGTATTTGTGCTAGCTATGCCTATGACAGCGTTTATTTCTCTTTTAATAAATTTTTTGTTTAAATATTTCCGGTTTTTGTGTGCTTAAGAGACTTCTCGACATGTGAATGCCATTTAGTCGAAAGCAAAAAAATCGCAAAAGCGCTAAGAAAAGCTGGCAAATATACATACATAAATACATATGTATATAAATACATATAAGCTTGAGACACTCCCACTTTTAATTTATATTTTTGGCCAACTATTTCAGCATTTATTATAGTTATGTATGTACATACACGTATGTATGCATTTGAACAAATATACATATATAGTTGCTATATTTCTGTACATTTTTATTATATTATTTGCTAAATGGCGTGTGACTCTTCTTTATCGTGGCTTTATAATCTGTTGACTATTGTTATATGTATTTACTCATATATATTTACATACATACATACATACATATAGATATGTATACATTTTCATTGATAAGCCAGCGCTGATTGATAGTGTAGGTCAATTTCCGCACAAATTTGTTCGTTGGCGCTGAGTGAATGGTGAAAAAAGTATATTACATAATTTTGAATATGATCACTATTCTGCCCATTCTCGTTTCTATAGAGTACTTGTAGGTATATAAAATAAGGTGAACATGCATTTTTGACTGATGGCACATATCGCTTAATAATCTCTGAAATGTCCACGAAAAAGAAAAATGCGTTCTAATAAGGACAAATAAATGTCATTTTAAATATGTCTGCGCAAATTGGTGTATATATTTTATTTGATATGATATCATATCATAGACATACATATGTATATATATACATACATACGCATAAAGTGTATGTGATGTGACTCTGAGATATATGTACATTCATATGCATGTAGTTGTGCCTGCTCTTTCTGAAGGATTTTACTATCTAGCCTACGAATTAATAAATAATATTATTAGAAATAACAATTCTTGTGACACTACATGGACGTTTAAAAAAAAGAGCAAAAAAAAGCACTAAATCCAATTATCATAATCTAATTAACAACAAGCTTATATACATGTATTGTGTTAGCCACCTTAATTTCTTAATCGATTTCGGCTGCATTAATTGGAACGAAATACAAACGATTTGTCATATGATTAATAACCTAAATTTTGAGTGGAAAGTCTGTGAAAGCTGCCGTTAAAAAAAAACCTTTTCGACTTAATTTTTCTTACGATTAAGTAAGTAACATCTATGTGAGACCCAATGGGTTAGCCAGTTCAACCTAACCTAACCCATATAAGAATAATATTTGCAATCCAATTGCCTTGTGTGTTGTGGGCCGTAGGGAACCTCAAAACGTGTATGTAATGTATTTCTGACATGAAATAAAGCTCTTCATAAAAAAACCATTAGCCGTTCAAAGGCGGTTAAGTATAAGTTGGAGGTCCCTGCATTTGTTGGAAAAACGTCAAGACACAAAACTACAAATTGGAAGAGCAGCTCGGCCGAAAATCGCTTAAGCGGTTGAAAAAGCGTCAATTATGTATACATACATATATAGGTGCATATGTATAAATAAAGTGTAATATTTTTTTTTTTAATTATTTTTAAATCAATTTCAATCGTGTTAAGTTCATAGAATTTATAAAAATATTAATTTTGTTTGACAAAAAAAAAAAATAATAAATAAAAATTAAAAATATGAAGCTAGACGATCAACTCACAGTACATCACACACACATTTTATGTATGAAATACTAAAGATTAATATATTTTTAAATATTATTTTGTTATTATAAATATTATATGTTTAATATTAAATTTTTTTTTAATATTTTTGAAAATTGTTTAGTGAGGTTAGGGTGTAGAGCCGCTTTTTATTGAAGGTTTAGAACTTTGAAATCTTTGGGTAACCAGCTCATTCTATTGGCGAGTATTGTTCATGTATATATGTAACATATATATGTTAGGGTTTTAGCACTTTATCTACTATATTTAGAGATTTTTGCACATATCTTAGCTAATTTATAATCTAAACTATCTCATTTATTTACCTTGTGTTATTTAACAAAATGCACGCTTATAAACACGCGCAAACCTACAAATGTATGACTTTGAAATGTTGAATATCAAAAAACAAAGATTCGCACAATTTGCTTACTCAAAAAATTTTCGATGCAGCTATGTACATATATGTATATATAGCAGGCCACTTGATTACAGGCAGTATTTTTTAAGACTTAACTCGAAATTCAACATGTGTTTACATACATATATATTTAAATAAGTGCTTAAGAGCGTGTAGGTATGTATTGCACAATTATCACATTCATGTATACATACCTAAAAACATGGCCCACGCATAGGCTTACATTACATACATACACACTTACTTACATATATACAATATAATTGTATTAAACTCTTTTGTTTCACATGCATCCAAAATCATTTACATATATCCTTTTCTTATATTTTGTCGACAACCATTAGCGACACATATTTACATACAATAATGTCCTTATTCAATGTTAAAGACGAAAATTTCTGGTAATTGTTTCATCAACATGGATTATTCATACACACATTTTAATGCTCAAAGACACAACTGGTTGAGATCTTTTCGATTAATACACATAGAAACACATGTAATTACTTAAATAAGAGTAGATTAGTTCCAAGAAATATATATATATAGGAGATAAATACATATGTAAAGTGGACAGTGTCTTCATTTAATTTAGCCTACGAGCGGTGAGAGATAAATGAACAATTCTGCCTGTTTTTATACCCCTCATGTACATATGTAAGTACCAGAAGGAGCAGAAGTAGACCCATCAAAATTTATACCAACTCACCGATATCCATCTGGCGCTGAAAATTATTGAAATCGGTTGACTATATCTGTCAAAAATTTGTCAAAAAAAAATTGCATCTTAGAGTATGAAATTTAGTTTATACATGCTTATCTACAAAAAACAAAAAAAGCCAAAAAAATCGTTGGAATCTGAGGACTATATCGTATATCGCCCATATAACCGATTTTTCTAGCATGCGATTTTTGATAAAAAGAAATCCTTCAAAAAAGCATCTACAAGCGTGGGATTTGGCATTCTACACACGCATACGAGTATACAAATAAAAGCTGACACCGCAAAGAATCAAAATGCAAAACTTAAACATATATCCCTCCCCAAGCAATTTTTCTGATATAAGAATAATATTTAGTCCTAAATTGAAATACCATAATATTTTTGTGATTAAAAAAAGTTAAAGATTGCATGAATTCTTACAAGATGACAGTGTCTCTAATTAATTTTCACCCACCAGCTGTACGAGCTGTATTTACCATAATACAGCCCTGTTAATTCCGTTTACTTTTAAAATATTGTAGTTAAATTCGCAAAAATGGAAAAGCAAAAAGGTTTGACGGATAGAGAAAACGATCAAATCGATATCATGTCCTTTGAAGGCCTTTCAAGTCGCTAAATTATCAAAAAGATTGAATGCCGTCTTATGAGAACCAAGATAAGGCTTATGCAAAAAACTACGGAGACAGATTTGTGATTGCTCTAACTCCGAAATTAAATGGACAAATCATAAAGTTC